TTCTTCTTGTGACATTTCATTTTTTGTGCAACAGCACAAATCTAGTTAGCAATGCAGTTACTTTTCCCTCCAAGTCAAGTCATATGTTTATAACTCTGTTAATAAAGCTGAATGGGGTAAACTATATAGAAGTTTTTAGCTGTGGACACATTGGGGCAGTCACAATGATATTGTATACTTGATTTTACAAGTCGCTGATTTTTTTCGTCATCTTGCAAAAAAATCGCTTTTCTTTAGAAAGCGTTGAAAAGCTGATTGTGAGCAGACTCTGAAGTCCACTGTACTCGCTTCTCACAAGGCTTTGCATGTTTTTAATGGATCTCTGATGTCTTATCTCTAGTCTGTGGGAAACGCTACAAGAACCGGCCCGGCCTGAGCTACCACTACACCCATACTCACCTGGCAGAGGAGGAGGGCGAGGAGGAGAAAGAAACGGAGATGACCCCGTCCCCTCCACGGAGCTCAGACAACCACAAACGTAAGATGCTTCACAGGGCCCCGGAGGTTTTCTGTTAACACTAGAATGTCTTCATGGTGTTATAAAACCAACAACATCTAATATATCCTTGTCTGTTCTTGCCGACAGCTCAGAAGGCCCCAGACGGTTCCATCATCCCCAATGACTACTGCGACTTCTGCCTGGGAGATCAGGACTCCAACAGGAAGACGGGGCAAGCCGAGGAGCTGGTGTCCTGCTCTGACTGTGGACGCTCCGGTGAGTCCCAAACTTTTCCCATTAAAACTTCTGGTTCTTTATTGATGTCGGCATTCAAACCACAGGTTATAGCTTTGTTTATAGCTTTGTTTTCCTGCCAACCAAATTTCTGGAATGTTGTGCAAGTGACGACACCATTCTTAATTAAGTAATAGTTCAGTATGTTGGAAAATACACTAATACGATTTCTTGCCAAGAGTTAGATGGAAAAACTGATACCAATTCCATGGCTGGAAATAGTTGGCTTAGTTTAGCTTTGCATAAAGCCTAGAAATGGAGAAACAGCTCGCCTGGCACTGTCTAAGGGCAACAAGTTTGCCCAACATCTCCTAAATCTCACTACTTAAAGGTTCAGTGTGTAGAATTTAGTGACATCTAGTGGTGAAGTTGCATGTTGCAGCTGAATACCCCTCACCTCACCCTCCCCTCCTCCAAACATGAAGACAACCTGTGGGAGCATTCAATTCTCATATCAACTCAAAAGGTTTTTAGTTTTGTCCAGTTCAGCTAAAACTGCCTTCACCTAAATCTTGCCGCTGAACCTCTAACACATTAATGTCTCTGTGTATTCATTTTCGTTGAATCCATGGAAAAGCATTGAAATTGTAGGTTAGTGATTTAGTAGAAAGTTTTGCATTTATTACAAGTTAAGATAAGACTAAAATAATCTAAATTAACCCCGACATGGCTTTAGCGCGATATTTAGCATGCAAACATAAAAGTGACATCAATCTTTTTATGTCATTCTCATTAGGAAAGGGTAGGAAAGCTATTTACTTAGTTTCTTTTCTTTAATTTGTGTCTACTGCGCATCTCATTTTTATTTTCTCCTCTCTTACCTCCTTTTACCCACAATCTGTTGTTCATGTGTTTTCCTCACTTCCTTGCGATGTTTATCTTTGCTACATGGACATAAAAGTGTTTATCCAATGCAGTTTAAGTTGCTGCATATATTTATATATATACATATTTTGGCATACACATTATAAATTATAACTATATCATTATTACACAGTCTAACTCGACCTTTCGCGTTCACCATTGCAGTGTCTTGAACTTACATGTTGCTACAGTGTCTTTTCAATGGGTTATCAATGAGCCTTATAGACAATTGAGAGCCTACTCACGAAACTTTCCATTCGAAATAATATTGATCCATTGTCTCCGCTGCTTGCTTCCATCGTGCATGCTTCTCCATGTCAACCTCGTCCATCAGCAAGGGCCTCTCCTTTTTGACGGCGTGCCTTCACACTTTGGTTGCTCAGTTTTCATGCATCACCATATGGCACAGTTGGCTGCTTTTTTTGTTTCCTTTCCCCCTTTTGTTTCTCAGACTATAGTCAAAGCCACATTTGCTGGATATCAAAGCATTTCTCCAATCAGCTCAACCAAGAGCAGGGTACACATTTCAGCGGGTGCGATGTTGTTCTTGCTGCGGTGAGAGTGTGTGGCCTTGTCTGTGTTGCTCTGACACTGATGTTTTCATGGTAGCTGGAAGAGGAGGAGCGAAGAAGGATGGGAGGAAGATGAGTGCTCTCGAAGAATTGTTCGGCACGGCGTCAGACAGCGAGGCCTCCACTTTTCTTGGCTTTGAAGAAGCAGAGCTGGAAGACATTTTATTATCAGGAGATGATGGTGCTGTGGCTAATTGCTGATATCAGGACAGCTTTACTAAAAAATCCTTTTCTGATTAAACCTTTTCTTTGGGGGAATGCTGATGGGCTGAAGGCACAGACTGGACTACAGTGGCTCACCTGGAAGACACAGGATTATTCTAAAATCCTTCGTTCATGCATAAAGCCCACTTGTTCTTGAAAACTTTTTCTCTCATGGATATAGTTACTTTTTTACCGCTTTTTTAAAAAGACATTTTCCATTTTTCATAAAATAAGTAAACTTCTTACACTTGACTTTGCTTGCATCAGATTATCAAGATCATAGGTTTAACTTCATTGGCTACGTCCTAATTAATTCTGGACTTTTAAGGTTGATAGCAGGCATGGTGGAGTAAATTACATGACTGGCCACTAAGGGAGGGATGAACGTGGACTCTTGAGTCACTCCATTGGCTAAAGAGGACAGGTTGCTGAGAGGTAAGAGCCAAATCGGCACTCTATTGCTCCACTCTCGTTCAAGGACTTCTTTCTTTTGCCCTTCGATGGTGAGTGGAAATGCTTATTGTCAAATTGCCTGCAGCTAGGTGCTTTCCAATAAGACCATAGGCCCATCTATTAATCTATTACTTCCCAGCTGTAATTCCCCCAGTTTGATTTTAGAGACTATTTGAGGAAGTAGCTTTAACAGCTCTGCATTAAATTCTCCTCAGGCCACCTTTATTCACTCATCGGAGGCTGATAGGGAGTGTTCATTATTCTGGCTGCTTTCCCAGTCTCGATATAAATCATCTCATCCCTGATTGTGGCTCATTCATGGCTCATTGATATCCCATTGATACCGGGGAAGTGCGGATAACAGTTATTATAAGATGCTGCCGGTACCGCGAGGCTCGAGGGAGGCTATCAAAGGCTTCGACAATAGCTGTAAATGATGAGGATATTAAATTTATGCGTTTTCATTTATAGGGAAGATTATAAAACACTAATCGGCCGTTTTTTCCTTCACACACACACAGACACATACACACACACAACCCCTTGTGTTTTGTTTTCCCAGTCATACAGTATTATCACTTTTACTTTTGAGGCAAGACTGCCTTTGATATTGAATGTCATCCATCTGAATGGACTGTCAACACCATGGGTTAACACTTGCAGCTGACAATACTTACGAGTGTTTTCTGAATGAAGGGTGAAATTATGTTTTCTGGGTCTCTCTTATTCATCTCAACCAGAGATAAATATTTATCCTGTAACGAAAAGATTTTGAACAGCCTTAAAATCAAATTACAAACTCTTGGCATAGTAGAAAGAGTATTTATTTGTTTCCATTCATCTAGAAAACCAAGTCCTGAAACTCTGAAGCAAACAGATACAGCTGCGGATTATATAAATAAGCTTTTTATGCATGACGTAAATGTGTGTCCATCAAGACGGAGCTTCTGGCAAACGTCTATGAATGGTTACATAAGAAAACACCGCTGACTTTGCTTTGTAAACACTTTCATTCCTTCCCTCATCACTGTTCTCGTCACTCCCCCTCCGTGCCTTTGTAGGTCACCCCACGTGCCTGCAGTTCACCGACAACATGATGCAGGCGGTGAGGACGTACCAGTGGCAGTGCATCGAGTGCAAGTCGTGCAGCCTCTGTGGAACCTCAGAGAACGATGTATGTATAGCAGGGGAAAGGTTTGGGTGAGATGCCAACGTGGGATGTTATTACAGGTTTCCTTTTGAATTTGCTGTGATCTGGATTAAATTTGATATGTTTTTCTTTTAATGCTGTGACCTTTCAACAGACAGCGTTCAGCCTGTCACAGGCAATACAACACTGAATTTGTGCCGGGCTGATATTTTAATACTTGATGTGAAATGGTTGATCTGTTTCTTTCCATTTCTACAACTCAATAGTGTATTTTCCTTTGAGTAAGAGCTGTATTATCATTTCCTATATTAAACATACAAGGCAGCCACATAAGTTCAAGATTCATAAGACTGATTTACAGAGCAGTAAAACGTATCAAAATATATATTAATAACAGTTTTATAAAAAAGTTGGATAATGTTTGGTCATATGCCAATAAACATATATATTTTTCAGGTCTGCTATAGGGGTGTTTAAAGAGGCTCTGGGAGCAAAAGGGATCTGGGGGGCCCTACATTGAACTAGACCCCCCCGAAAAGAAGTACATGATAAGAAACCACATCATTCCAATCTTCAAACAACTCTCCCAGTATCAACATTTGGAGTGAATGCCGACTGTATCCATTGCCAGTGCAGACAAAAGCCAGATGCTGTTGGGTGTTCATGTTTTTTTGTGTGACTTCAGTGACATGGGGCCTGTTGGGGGTTTCTGACCATTTTGTCATTGCAGTCTCCTGTACATGGACATCACAGAGTTTAAGGGGGCTCTCATAGTTATTGCTGTGGACTAATTCAATCAATCGTTCTCGAGGGGGGACCCCCCTCTCAGCTCGGGGCCCCAGGCGGTTTCCTGCTTCGCCTACCCTGATGCAACACCACTGTGTACAGGACTCATGGAAGCTCTTTTTCTCTGCCTCTAGCCTTGTTAAAGAATAACAGTGGGACTTGTATGTATTTCTCTGCCATCTGTGCTAATTTCATATCTTATTAATGTTTTTTGTTTGTGTGCTGCCCGTGTAGGACCAGCTGCTGTTCTGCGATGACTGCGACAGAGGATACCACATGTACTGCCTGAAGCCTCCAATGACCCAGCCTCCAGAAGGTATAACAGCTCACAGGTTTTACTATACATAGGTGGACTACGACTGTATAAGAGCTGTCGATTTGAGAGAGGCCACAAACAGAGGCTATATATGGAAAAGACATCGGATCTCATTCTCCGTCTCTCTCCCTCTCTCTCCACAGGGAGCTGGAGCTGTCACGTGTGTCTGGACCTGTTAAAGGACAAGGCCTCAGCCTATGGAGAAGCATAACAACGTCCTCGACCATTTCTCGACACGCACATACACAAAACATATATTTGTATCCACACATATAACTGCCCACACATAAGCAAAAGCGTTATCACATATGGAATCGAATACACACACATTAAAACACACACACACTCCAGTGCATTAGCAGGCTCAGGGCAGTTTCCTGTGTGAGGCGCAGGCATCCTCTACCTCTCATGAAGCCACAGCAACAGATGCAAACGCCATCACGACAGGCGATTGACCATAAGTCAGCCAACATGGCATCCAGTCATTTCTCTACCTCCCCACTCGGCAATCAGCAGACAGCAAGAATCCCACGCAGGATTAAAAAAGGTGTGTTCACAAATCGGCCACAATGTTAGAATGGTGAACTGATAGATGCAAGCCGTGCAAAATGACTGAAAGTATTTTTAAATCACACAACTGATGGTTCATACAGAGATCTTCCCATCGTTAAAACCAGTGGCCTGTTTTAATATTGTGGCTGAGCTGTGTTCATTCATTTTGAAACAAACATCTTAATGCTCTGGATGTTTTCCCCCCGATTCAAATGTATTTGACGTTTCACCGAAGCTGTTTCACTTGCCTCCCTCGCTGCTCGGACTCTACAGTGAGGGAACCTGAGTGGGTTTTGACTGATGTTTGTTTAAATCTCTCCTTCCAGCTCCAGCCCCTCGCTTGTGTTTAAACTTTACAATGACATTCCTACAGTATATGTCCTCATATCTGGAAAGACTCATTGTTGGTTATGCCGTCTTTCACAGTATTTGTCAAGCTGGGTGAAATTTATGTCCGATGCTGAGGGGAAGCGGGGCGATAAAGCAGCCTCGACTGTCATTCCTTTCGGATTGTGTTGACATTTTTAATCCACGTCTGTTTTCTGTATCCTCGTAGTTACTAGGATACCATGGTGCTTACATGTAACACTTTACACAAGATTTAACATGTCTTTAAATAGAATGAAACATTTATTCATGCGTTGCTGATAGTGCACCGATGTTACTGTCATGAAGGTCGTGATTACTGTAAATCAGTGGTTCCCAGACTTTTACTGTCACGCAACCTATGGACAAAAAAAAAGCTTATATGGCCTTTTCCCCACCACCAGCAAACATGCACATTAGAAGCATTGTTGTCATCTGGTAACAATACTGGTGACAAAAGAAGAAATATATTGAAATAACATTAATATGAATATGAACTGTATTTTCTTTCACATCTCATGAGCTACTGGTGTTTAAATGAAAAAACCCGATCCTTTTCACAGTTTGTCATATCATAAAATATATATAAGTAAATGTTTCAGTGCTGAAATTTAGTTTTATTAGCCCGTAACTGCACATAAAGTCGTTTGGAGGGTTGGAAGTAATCAGATTACATATAGTTTAGTTCATAGGAGACAATAGACATGATGTTTAATCCAGTCTTTACAATCCGACTCTTGGGTTTTTGGTTTTACAAATGTTGGTAAAAGGGATATTTTTCCAGACTCTTTGTGTACCAAGTACTGCCAGTATTTACACGGCTTCAGCATGTCGAAGTAGAACACTCAGTAATATGCATACCTCTGCAACAGGCCCCTTACTAAACCATATTTAAATTCACTAGATCTGGATTTTTAATAAAATCTGCACCAAAATGCACAAATCGTAATATCAGCCCCTTAAAAATGCTTGAATTTCAAGATCCATGAATTAGTCTCAGGGAAATCAAGGAAAATGTCACAAAAACTCACAATGTTAAACAACTTGATCTGGATCTGCTACAAAATGTAATGGGTTGTCCCCTGACCCACACCACAACCTTTCACCAAGTTACTAACAGACAAACAAACAAACACATTTGGATAAAAACATGACTTTTTTGACAGAGGTAAAATCAAAAAGCTATGATTGGACCATTTATATTGTAAGTTTCATGATAAAGGTCAATTGATGTTGTTAGTTACACTTGTGTTGGGCAGGTAAAATAATGTGCTGTGAAAAACAGCTTCTCACTTTTAAACGTTCCACCTGGGTCATACCCCTCCAGAGGGCCCCAGGCCACGGTTTGGGAACCACTGCTGTAAATTCATCAGTTCAACATGTGTTCATTCATTCAATCTCCATTAATGACTGTTTGGAGGAGGAGGCCCTCCATGTCCTGAGGAGGAAATATTTACTGGTGTGTTGTATCTGGAAGCTGGCACAGTTTTTATGCAGTTATGAACAGATTCATTTTGCCGTTTTTACCATAAACATCATTGATGCAGTTTGTTTTTGTAATGTGCAAATATTCCGTAGCACTAACTTCAAACGCTCCCTAACAACATGCTAACATCCGTGTCATACACATGGTGTGTAAGCCTTGACAGGATACCAAATTCTGCATTTGTGTGTTTTGCTATTGTGAGTTTGTATTTGATCTTGCTTTTCCACCGACAATCATGAGCTATAGCATAGATATATGGTGTTAATAACATACAGAGGGGTTTTTTTTGTATTGTTTTTCCTTTGCAGGCATAATGACCCTCTGTGTCTTCCTTCTTACACTCTTATTTGATGCCATCACCTGCAGTGATTCAAAATGTATGTTGTATTTTGTTAAAGTAAATGTTCTGTTTTGTGCCGAATTAAAACACTTTTCAATTGTTTGTTTTCTCACATGGCATCTATGAACTGCAACTTAGAGTGCTTCTGCTCCTTTTCAATAATCCAATACCAGGAAAGCTTAATGCTGTACAACTGAAACAAGCATCGAGTGTGTGTATGGATCTGGTCAAGATTTGTATTTCTGAAATGAATCAATCATAAATGAATGAGCAGATAAGCCATCATTCCCCCTCAATGACATGGCTGCTGTGTCTCTGTCTGATCTACATGAGTTACAGTGCAATAAACCTGCATGTCACAAGCACATGACAGTAACACAGTTCCAAATATTTATCACAACTTCATGACAAGAAAAGCTTACTGTGAGTATTCTTTCAAATACACATCACTTACTATTATTGAATTAAACATTATTTGTGTTTACCTCATATGACCACTAGAGCATGCTATTGGACTGGAGTAGAGCTCCAGATGACATGGATATTAGATTTTACTGTCAAATAGAATGATAGTGATCATTGCCCAGACTCATTACTACATAAATATTTTTTTATGAATTAAATAGTTTGTATACATACAGGTGTTGTGACATCACGTCTTTGTTAGACCTGACAGCAACAATTTCTAACCTTTAAACCCATCTGCTAAAGTACACATACTGCAGTGTAGTTGTTTCCTGTTATAATACATTTTTGTCCAATTTCCTTTTTTGTAATAACTTAACCTGTATTGAGGTATTTGTACATTCTTTATTTTATGTTGTGTTATATTTGTGGGTTATTTTTCACGTGAGCCATGACCAGTTTCTTCCACACCCCACAAATATTTCATGCATGTATTTTGTATTTATTTTGTACTAAACAACTGTACTACACTACCCAACATTAATTACTTCATTACAAACTAATTTCCTGTATTTAATATCTTACATGATTATTATCTTTACAAAATATTAAATGTGAAAAAAAAGTATTATGCTTGTATGGCAAGTATGTTAAGTATGTTTTGTATTCTGTGCAATATTTTCATAAACTAATCATTTTGGATGTAAAATTCTATATAGGTCTATTTCTTCTGAAGTGAAGTACAAACATAATTTCAAGTGTTGCATTTTTGTACCCACACATAGTCTATTAGAGGATTATAAGAATATTTACCAGAGACAAAAAAAAAGTGACAAGATGTTTCAAAAAACATGTGTTTAATAATGACTGTAAAAGTAAGGGATTGTTGATGATTTACTGGGACATGACATAAACATGCAATACAGACTGAGGAATACCTGTTTGGCAGCTGTGTCTTTATGTATTACATGTTGTCTTGTCTGAGTCGTACAGTAATCAATACAATCATCCTTATATGCATGAATTCAGATTCATTTTAGCATATCTAGAACTTTCCCACAGTGGGAAAGCATTGACTTGTGTGTAACTGGAGTTGTCTCTGTTGATGGGTTTGCTTGTGTGTTTGTCTCAGCAGTCGGTCGCCATCCCGGTGACGATGGACAGGAAGGAGCTGGTGGCGTAGGAGGGATTCAGAAGGAGCTGCTCCAGCATCTCTCTGCCTCTCTCTCTTGTTGTCACCGAGCACATGGCCTTTCCCCACATCCGCACCAGTGTACCACCTGGCAGACAACAGATCATGAGCATCTTTATAAGCTCACAAAAATCAATATCAAAAACACATGATACGTGTGTGTGTGTGTGTGTGTGTGTGTGTGTGTGTGTGTGTGTGTCCACCCCACCGAGGAGATTGTTGATGTTCTGCATCCAGGAGAACACAGACAGTGTGTGGTTCTCCTCATCAGACAGATCAGCGATGTTAGGAGCACTGTCGGTGTCCTACACACACAAACAGGACAGGGAAGACAACAATTAAATACATGTATACAAGCTGTAAGAGATGCTTTAGAAATCAGTGAGAGGAATATGTTGGAGGTTTGTACCTGTAAAATGCGACCTGGCAGAGGGGTCATGAACATCACGGACTTTTCCAAATTGGACTGGAAAAATGCTGCTGATACGTACTCTGCTGAGTTCAGCCAGCTGTTAGCAAAATACACCTCCGTGGAGGAGTAGTGGCTCTGCCTGAAGGATGGAGAGAACAGGAGGTCAACATAAGAGATGTTAAAGAAATACGCTTATTCCTCTTCTGACTGAGGGACAGATGAGAAAATTCACAACATCGTCTGTCATTGTCTTGACCTTGAAACACTTGTCACAGTGACAAACCACGCACCAAAAAAACTGTCCACCACAAAATCACAACTGCTGGTTTTAAATGAAGATTTAATGAATGAGTTTCCGTGTGTTAATTAGATTTACAGGTGCACATAAGCAGATTTTCTTTTTACCATTTGATGACACCACCATGCTCCATGCTCCTAAGTTGAGCTAAGATAAGATAAGATAACTCAAAGATGCCCAGAGTGGTATGGACTGAGTTCAAAACATTCACACAACATCAAGATATGAACTTGAGTAAAAAAGACAGAAAGATTGACAGATCGTTGTATTGGACAGACAGACAAACGGATGGATGGATGAATGGAAAGATGGATGACTGCTCGATTGATTGATTTACCTGGCACTACAAACTGCAGAAGCATGAGTTGAAGCCATTTGGGCGGCCCAGTAGAGACCAAGGAGAGAGTCTTTCTTCTCATTGTCGGGCAGAGGAGACTCGGTCGCAGCCTTGAGACCCTTCAAACACACACAGAGAGTCACTGTGGTCAACAAGTACAAATCTATCATAAAGCTTAGAGACACAGAAGAGACAGGTTGAAACAGGAGCTGAGACAACCTGACCTTTACACCCACTTATTAGATCCATTTTTAGCATATTTGTGTTTGTGTGTTTTTTTTTTTACTTTCAGTGAAACTAAATTGAACAGAGCTGAATTTCAATTTGTTGGGAAAACATATGGATCTTTACCACGTGAACTGAACTCATAGACATATCAATATTGCTTGCCTGCTTCGAAATGGACTTGGGTAGTGGTCTGTTTTTGCAGTGCTGAGTTTGAGCGTTTCAAATATTGAGTAATTGCTATTTGCTTTGTTGCTTTTGAAATAAATGACCACACGTGACACTGAAACACCCCCCCCTCCTCATTTCAAAGTCAAACCCGCTGCAGTGCACTTCACATACCTGGTAAAAAGTGTCCCACTTGGACATGGCGTCAGGGAAGCGAGTTGAACAAGTGGCATAGGTGTTGCAAACGTCCTCAACACCCGCAGGCATCTGCATCTGGACCTAAGGACCAGAGCTAAATCGTTAAAAATCGTTAATTGGTCATTAGAACCATACTCATATGAGGGCATAGAAATAACAGCAGATGTCTCATGAGTGCAGCTTCTTATTTTGTTGATTTCAACTGTCTCACTTTGTGTTTGAGATGTGCTCGAGTACCTGAAGTCCGGGTCCCATGAAGCCTTGATGTGCAGCAGAGAGGAAGGGCAGTGCTGAGACAAAGTAGTTCTGACCTGGAGAGAAGCAAAGAGGTAGTTTGTGTTCACTCTGTGTGTGTGTCTTTGTGTGTGTGTGTGTGTGTGTGTGTGTGTGTGTGTGTGTGTGTGTGCTCGGTGTGTGTGATACTTACAGGCCCACCAACTCTGGGTAGAGATACACATGGTATCTCCTGTTTGCAGGCCGCAGGTTGAAGCACCGGTCGGGTCTGCCAGTCGCCCTACGGACACACGACATTACATCTTCAGTTCCTGCCTGGATTCTTTAAGAGCTGGTGTTATGACATAACGTTCACTCACCTTTGCAGATACAAACATTTTCAGAAAACGTTGGGGTGAAAGGTCATTACTGAGATCTGACATTTTCACAGTGCTCTTTACACTGGAGATCATTTTGGAACAGTAGACTAATTCTGAAGTAACATTTTTTTTCTTAACTCAACAGGAAAGGATTATGGTAGTATTTAAAAAAAAGAAAAGAAAAAACATAACGATCAGCTTACCTGAAGTTAGCATCCATCCAAGCTGCAGTGGCAGTCCCCAAATAGGACTGTCTTTAGCGTTTGTCCCCATGCATCCCAGAAATGGGTCTGTAGCTGCAATCAGCAGACGATAAAGGCTCATACGGTGCAGATAGTGCCACGGGTCAGGGGTCAGAACGCCATTCTCTATTGGCAGGTCTGTGAGTTGGCCGGCCGTGTGCCCCCACAGGATGGGCAGGCCATTTTCCAGGACAACGGCAGATTGCCCGAGAGACGCAGCGCACGCCAGGAGGAGGCCGAGGGCCGTGAGATGCTGCATGACTGAGGAAGGGACGCCGCAGAGAAGGATGGAGTCAAGAGCTTGTACTCTGGACTGAGAGTCGACAAATAGATGCACAGTATTTATACTGTGTTGGCGCTCAGATCTTTTGACCTATGTTGGACAGACCCCCCCCCCCCCCCCCCCCCCCCCCCTCCACACATACACACACACCAGCCCATGTGACATCTGGTTCACTGTACCCTCACTCACAGATAAGACCTATAGCTCGATAACTTTCAAAATACTTGGAAACAGAAGGCCTCTGTCGTGAACACACAAGTACAGAGAGGAAGGATCAATATGCTGTGAAGCTAAAGCAAGAAGTATCACCAGGTCTCGATAAGTTTAATAGAGGTCTGTCACATCTAACGTTATCAACTCATAAAATAAAATTAACATTGCAAAGTGATCAGCAAAAGGACGAACACTTTGATTGTGATCCATTTTGTATAATCAAGATAACATCATTCTTGTCTTTTGGTTGCAACTTCTGTCTTATAATAAATACTGTTGATAATGTTCCTTTGTGCTGTTTAGGTCAGTAAAATCTACAATTCACATTAACTTCATCAACACTCTGCAGGTTTAAAAGGACAAGTGAATAGAGGCGAAGCACCTTCTGCAGGACACAGAGCTGTTGAATAATCAATTTTTGAGGTGAGCAGAATATTACGCTCCAAGAGTTCACTAATCTTAGATAACACAAGATTACCTTTGTCCTAGTTTTTGCCCCTGACAAGGAGGGTGAGCACGACTCACAATTTCAAATGTCCCATGTGACTTTTATCTCTAGTTAAAAAACAAAAGCTCATCTGATCTGACACATATGAGCTCCCATATCTGACATGCCTGTGGTCGAACAGTATTGGTTTTCCATATTGTTCAACAAACAGTTTTTCACCATCACACCACATGTATTTCTGACTTTTGGTCTGTAAACTGACAACAGAGTCGTTGAACCCACCTGAACCTCGGCGTGATGACACTGTGCCCTGACAGAGGTGCATTAAATCACAAACCTGTGATTTCAGAAACACTTAAGACACATTTGTGTTTTTAAGTTACACTGTTGTGAAAAGAAAAAGTTAAGATTTTAGAAAGCCTGAGGTCCAAGTCCAAGTCTGTCAAAACATTCACAAAATTATTCCAACTTTTCTTTCTGATGCTAAATATTAGTTTTTTAATTCAGTGGACTTCAATTATATTTTTGCTAATCTAATGTTCCAACATAAAATAAAATACAGATTGCATTCACCTGAGAAAAGGATGATTTTCTGTTCTCATGACAAACAAATCTCAAGTGACTGCAGTATGCATCTGTATTATTAACACCATGTCTGGTAACCATCCCTCCATGTGTTGTTGGGTTACAGTATATTACAATATAGAGCAGATCATTGATCACAGATCATACACAGATTTTTTAAACAGTTTTCAGATACAGAAGACATAATATAACTTTGATTTCTTGTCTTAACTTTGGTTTTAAACATTTTTGTATTTAGTATTGTTTTACATAGTTTATTAGGTACAGAAGACATAACAGTTAGATGTATTGACTGAATGTCTCTTTAAAGTTAATTTTTCATTCTTGGTGCGATCTTCATGCGCTGCAGTCGTCATGTGATCGTGGGAGTGGCAGAAAATCCGGAAACAAACACTCCTCCGCTGCAGAAAGTCAAGAGAAAGGTAAAATGGATAAAACTCTGTACTTTTACACTCAGATCATCACACATGTTGACATGGACACTGTCGCGTGTCACACAGGATCTCGTGATGCAGAGAACAGAGAGGAAAATAATTAATCTCACAGACATCGTTGGAAACGAGCAGTGACTTTGATTGGGACTAGGTGGCTGATGCATGTGAGAGTCTGTCAGTGGAATAAATCAATAAAATGCGACTTTAACTCTGATCAACGTGACAAAGATCATTTCTCTGTGTCACTGCAAACTCCTGGGATTTCCGCATTGTCCTCGCATGTAGTAAAAGGATTTTGTTTGCAGACAGGAAGGTGATCGAAGTGGAAACCATCGATAAAGCAACGATTTAGATTATTTTTTGTGTGGAAATGATCCTGATTATAACCCTCGTGTGCCACTGACAGCTTGTTTAACCCAAAGACTGTATATAAAGAGGTTTAACCTCAGTCTGACAGATTCTTAGCAGAAAACTCCCGTAGCTTCCGCTTGAGCTTTCTCATGCGCGTCTATTGACGATGTTACGGTACGGGTGCTAGAAGCGGCCAAAAAGCACAAAACTCATAATGCAGGGAAAGTTTGTTGACTGTGTCGTCATCACATTCATTCTTATTTATCTCACTGAACATCACGTTTTTTTAAATTGTTCCTCTTCTTGTGCTGCTGATTATCACGAAATAGATAATCTACTAATGTATTTTAATTTGAACTTTTAGAAAAAAGTCAGTACACTAAACTACATTGGCAATTCCAATTGTTTTATAAAAATCAGAATAGTTCCTCATTCCTGCAGTTTTTGTTTCTGTTTTCCTGTAACAGCTTTTCTTAAATCCTCACTGCATTCGTGTTAACCCTGATTCTATCATATTCAACAGCACAGGAAGACTGCATGACTGAGTACACATTGACCCAACCCAGTTAACCCACATTTTACTCTTTGCATAATAAATGAGACGCAGTGCACCGTTACACAAAAGATCACAAACTGTGGCTGACTTAAAAGTGACCAACTCTGTGTTCAGCCTGTTTCACCTGGTGTCTGGTTGACCTTTCAGATTTCAGATCAAAGTATGTGTACACAGGTCATATTTTTAATGGTTTACTTTTAGGTAATTAAGTAAATCTTCTACTAGCTATTTCTAACTAACTATATTTAATAAACTGTCTCATTGCTCTGCATTGTATTGGATGGTCATTGCAGAAAACCACAGCATCCTAAGTCAAAAATTTTGGGGGAAATTTTGTGTTGCCAGAAGACTCCAGGCTGTTTTGAGAACCACATAATTTTCATGCTGAAAAGTAAATTACAAACATGCATGAATGCAGAATGAAGAGAGAGATTGTGAGTGGGATCATTAGATGAATTATCACAAAGCAAGAAGGGGGGAAAAAATGACTATGTTTTGGTGTGCGTTTATTCTTGGAATTAATTTTACTATTTGTTAGATCTCTTAAAGCCTGGTTGTACACTGTTGAACTACATCATATTTTAATATGTTGCTGCTTTATTGCCTGCTTTTAAAGCCATTCATGGAGGCATAGCCACTAAAATGCTGATGTAACAGCTGTTTCATGTAAATTATGAATTTTTATTTAATCTTTATTTAATCAGGCAGTCTCATTGAGATTTTCCAGAGAGTCTTCTTGTGTAAAATTAAACTTGTATAAAATGTTGGCCGTTCAAATTAAGACAGAAAAATCACACGGCACACTGCTGCACTGCATTTAATATGACGTCATTACATTAAGTTTCTCTCAGCATCACCAAGCCTGACTGACTCCTAGCTTCCCTAGACTAAACAGTACACAATACACCAAGAAGACACTATTCAGATTAAGCCACAGAAGTAACTGCAGTAACTACGATAATCTACACAATCAGTGAATGAAGTGTCACTCTGTCGTCATTGTGTCCTTTCACAGCTCTTCATCATGGCCTACCAGGCCGGAATTCAAGAGGAGCTCACCGCCTTAGTTCACGACATCAGCTCCAACATACAGAAGATCACACTGCTGAGTAATAAAACACCTGCACGCACACACGCACACGCACACACACACTCTTTGCTGACTCCGGTTTCGCAAATCATGGTATACACATGGAGATGTGTCCCTACATAATCGAATATGTGCTCCCTTTTCTCCTGACCAGCCTCGGATCTGCAGAGGACAGTGTCTCTGCTGGAAACAGAGCAGGACAGCAGCCAGCTACGACAGACATTGTGAGTTACAGTGGCTGGTTTGTGGGTTATCTATTATCATGACCAGCACAAATGCTCATGCAAAAACTGAGAACTTTCAACCGTGTGTCTCATAGTCAAGTGATTGTTGAAGGTGATATTGGACGTTCAAGCAGCCTGATATGAAAACTGCTCAGCACTTACAATATAAGAAAAATCTGTCCTCCAGATACTCTCTTCAAGTCTGTCGGTGTTCTGACCAAATTAAAATGATCCCCGACGTGATTTTTCTCCCCTCACCAGGCAACAGAAACAGCAGCAGGGCAACCAGCTCGCAAAGGAGACTGACCGACTGATCAAAGCCTTCAGTGCACGTCCCGTTGGCCCCGATCAAGTACTGAAATCTTCAATAACTTCTTTCTCAACAGCTGCTTAAAGTCATAATGTCCCTTTTTTTCTAGTTACTACCATTATATTCATTAAAGGACACAGACATTAACTCTGTGGTCACTCTGGTAATGTGTTTCTGTGTGTCTCTTAGCGGCAGAGAAAAATACAGAAAGAGCGCCTGTTGAATGACTTCTCCGCAGCCCTAAATAGCTTCCAAAAGACCCAGCGGGAGGCGGCTGACAAAGAACGAGATTTTGTGGCCAGAGTCAGAGCCAGCTCCAGGGTGTCGGTGAGTAATCTGCTGCGTCTGCAAGGGCTCAGAACACAGAAAACACTTAAAACAGTCAAATCATAGAAACGACGCCAAAAACGGATTAATGCCCTTTGATATCAGGCCAGAGATATTGTTGCTTTTAACTATGCATTTACATCATGGCTGCTTGGTGCTTCAACTGTTTACGTCCTGAGACAGTACATGTCCCCAAGATGCAATGTGCACATGAACGGCAGGGGGCTGTACGGAGGCAGCACGTAACCACCAGTGTCACCATGTGTTTTTATTTACAGAATGCTAATCTAGAAGTTCTATACTATGAGTTGTCTTCCTATCTTTATTCAAGAGTGTGGTCTTTCAGTTTGAGAGCAGGACTGACTCCCTGAGCTCCAGCTTTAGCTCTTCCCCTGCATCTGTGCACGAGTGAAACGTCTGCTCTCAGATTTCTCCCCCGCTCTTGGATTTTGTTATGCACCAAGTCTGTCAAAATACCCCAACCAATATAATTCAAGTTGTCCTTCAAGCAAGGATATATTTGGCCTGAGGCAAAATGTAAGACCCTGGCAAAGAGGCTGGATAGTGTGCATGTCCAACACCTAATGACTGCACACCTAACACTGTGATATACTCAATGATGTAACATTTACGTCAAGCAGACCGTATCTATGGAAAAAAATAAGTAACTGAACAAGAACTACAAAATGTGTCAGACTCTTTTTAACTGTACAGATTGGTGCATATTTGATTTTTTGTAAACGTGTCAGACAGTAGAAAGCTGTCGTCTCTGACTAACACTCACTGACTCACTGCTACAAAGATTTTCCTCCAGCAGCAGCTCCTTGATGCAGCCAACCATTCCTAGAACAGAGCTTATCTTGACTCAGTGCACATATCAGTGTCTGCATACCTGCCAGCAGATAAGAAACAGAAACAGCAATTTATAAAAGATTGCACCAGCTGCAATTTCAAAAGTATCATCACGGTATTCCAGTGCAGGAAGTCCAAAGAATAAAAATATATCTAAGGTGCTGCTGCTTGTGTTTTGTTACATTCTCATAAATGTCTCGAATACATTTCTGCTTTAAACAAGTGTCAGCAGGTCATTTAAATAAATATATTTACTTGAACAGAAAAGTTTTTAAAGCACAGTTTTATAAAAAGCTCTCGCATCGCTTGGACGGTTTTATTTGTGACTGCTTTGGAAACCTGTTCCCTCGGGGGGGAGGCAGCGTGCTTGGCAACTCTGTTCTGTTACCTCACCAATTATCCCAGTGCACAGAAAAGTGTGTGTATCTGCTGTTTTTTTGATGAGCAGGAACAGTTCCTTACTGCGCTACGTGTTGTTGAGGAACATAACTGGGAGGAATAAGGTGCAGGTTTTACTTTTCGAGATACTGAATGAAATGATTAATAAGGCGTGAGGGTCATAATGATAACATCCCTATAACACTCTGTACCTTCCTTCAACAGGGAGGCCAGCCTGACGACGGCTTTGGAAATGTGGTTCCCTTCTCAAAGTCAGTCTCCTGATTTGTAATTCTGATTATTTTATTAACCATAATAAATATAATTCTTATTGCATCTAAATTCGTTCCCTGCAGCGACTCCCAGGTGCAGGCTCAGGCCGAGGCCATCACCGAAGACGACCTGAGGCTGATCCAAGAGAGAGAGTCGTCCATCAGGCAGCTGGAGGTACAGATGAGAATTAAATGTCTCCAACTGCACTGCAGCGTAAACTCTGATACATGAACACATGGTTCACGTGAGCATGAACTGTCTCTGTGCTTCTTGGTTTAGTCTGACATCACAGACATCAATGACATCTTCAAGGACCTGGGGATGATGGTGCATGAGCAGGGAGAGATGATAGGTGAGAATCCGTCACCTGCACATACTGGACATTACCTGGTTTGTCAAATAAACCCCCCCACCAGCTGCACGTTAAACTGTGCATATCCCCTGTGTGCTCTTCAGACAGTATAGAGGCCAATGTGGAGAGTGCCGATGTGAATGTCCAGAGCGCCACCCAGCAGTTAGCACGTGCTGCAGAATATCAGGTAAGATGTGAGGCCAGAGCCAGAACAAGGGGCAACATTGAGTGAAAATAAATGTATACATCTTTATGCTGTCTTGCTACAACAAACACTTTTGTGCCTCACTCCCACAGAGGAGCTCACGGAAGAAGATCTGTATCCTGATGATAGTTTTGGCTGCAGTTGCTGTGATAGTCGGACTTATCATCTGGGGAGCCATCGGCAAATAAAACGCTCCTCTTCAATCATCAGCCTGGACAAAGGAGGAAGTATGGTCCTTTCTCTGCTGCACATCCAATATTTCTCACCCCCCTTATTAGGGGAGTCTTTTTTTGAAGATGTATCCATCTTTCTTTGGACTGCACGCTCTCTTCACTTTAAAACAAAACTAGCGCTGGTAGCTTTATCGTTACAATTGGCTTTAATTGATTTTTTTGTGTTTGATTTTACTAATTATTTTCTGTAAATGTCAAGATTTTTATCCTCACCCGTTTGTCCCGTGAAACACAGATTTTTTTAGAGTATCTCCATTGAGCTACATGTTGAATAATGTACAGTGTAGACAACGCTTCTTGGTGCAGTGAAGCAGCACAAGGCAGGTATGAGGTATTTAACTTTCAAGATCTGTTTCTTTCAATATGCCACATTTCTGCAGCTGCCTTCTTTAACACATATCACACATGCCACATGTTTATCTGCAGTTTCACTGTGAATTGAGTACATGATGTAAATTTATTGAGAAAACACAAATGTAAACTACATTTATCTTAACCTAACACAGAGCTGCCTGTGACAATACTTTTTTTTTTTTTTTTTAAATCTCCTGTACTTGAGGTCATCATAAATGAAAATTGATTGTTATTTTCTGGCCAACTTCATGTTGTTTTTTTCATGTGTTGTATGAAGAAATACTGTTCTTGTGGTTATTACTTTAAGTTGCACTCCACTATCAGCCGTCAGAATGACAAGTGTTGGAGGTGGTGTGTTTCCTTTTGCAACTGTAAGTGTGTAACTCAGAGGTGCAAAGCGCATATCAAGGAGAATGTTTTTTTATAAATCAAATCACCTATCGCAGATGACTACACTCAGCAGACGGTGACAGAGAGGGTCACTTGTACTGAATCTGAAATGAGAAGGGTGCTTTTCACCCAATTGTAATTTTTACATAATTATATGATTCTTCAATAAAACAATTTCGTCGTAAAATGTGCTACCTCTTTGAGTTTAGACTATTTTACGTTGGTCCTTTGGTACCGTCTTTTTTACTGCAAGATAAATAAATGACAGGCTGGCAGGTTACTGACATGTTGCTTTACATATCATGCTAATTTATTTAGGCTCATGTCATTTTGAAAAAAAAAAGTGTTTTATCACCTTCTCAGCTTTAGTGTTCATATGGAGGAGATCAAATATATATAAATTGTCTTTATTTAGTACATGCTGAATCTCAAAAGCGTTTAATTCAGCTTCTTCAGCACAAGGACACGGTGTTCCCCAGCAGAGAACACCAGAGGACCAACACCAGAGCCCTGTGGCACACCTCTGGAGACCTTTTCTGTAAATTGTTTTGAAAACATCAAATCTGGTTTGAAAAGATTTAGCACTCACATCGTGTGTCATCTCCTTGTTTACCCGTTATACTGAAGGAAATAAATTTCAGGCAGCCACGAGAGGATGAGATCATGGGGGCAGTTCAGGCATATGTCGGAACAGACGGTGTTGGAGTTGGAGAGGGATGTGGAAGTAACAGACTGCAGTGACGCAGAAGGCAAAGCTTTCCTTGGCAGGGCGAGAGACGAGGAGGATTTGGACATCGTGTTGCAAATACATCACTCGCGGAGAGAACGGGTTGAACTGGGCGTCAGTAGGACAGGGAATATTTCAGGCTGGTTACACACACAAAGTGGCAGGTTGCTGTAAAAGAGCTGAGCAGGATTTTCCTTCCTAACAGAAATGTCTCAGCTTAAGAGCCACAGGAAAGTTTGAACGGGTGAAAAGTTACTGCAGGGGAAGCTGGGTGTGTTTGGTTTGAAGTAGATGGACACAGTTTTTTTTCCCCCCACAGAGGTATTAGGTTGTTTTTCAGTTGATGTAATTTTCCTCAACATTTATTTTACTAGCTTATTTAAGAAAAACTCAGGTACACCAATGATTCTAGCAAACAAGAATCAAGACTGAGCATGTTGATGACTCTCTTTTATAGAAGCTCAATGTGTCAGGCACAGAGGCTCTTTTGCCTGGTGGTGTGGAAAAATCAAATAATGACAAATAATCATAATTTGGACTCACATGTGAGGCTGTACATAGACATTTCCTTTCTTCCAGGATGAGAAGGAATTGGAGAAATAACTTTGTTTGTCCAAAGCTGGACAAACAAGGTGAAGTCAGTTGATCATTATTGGGTTGGATTAGAATAAACAAAATGTAATTTCTATTCCTCTATTAAGAAGTTGAAAGTAGCTTTCCTAAATATGTAATTATGGTCAAAGCAGAAGATGCAGAAGCCAAGAAATCCTAAAATCATAGATGGATGGATACTTAGATGGAGATGAATACTTAAACCTCCTGAAATGTTTACCTTTATCATGATCATGTAAATTATTATTATTTAAAAAAAGAAGCCTTTTTGCATTAAATCTAAGGAAATATTTATTTCTGCCAACAGGGGGCAGTACAGAATTACTTACATCACAATCAAGTCCATAATATAACACCATGTAATGCTACTCCTGTTTTTTCTTTCTCTGATGTTCTGTCAGGACTATTTTAATTGGCACTATGCATATTTTAGTAGGTTTTAGTACAATATCTAGATTTTGTATACACAAGTATTTTAAATTATATAATATAAAATCACACTGCATCATACCTTTATCACAGCCAGTCGGGCCTTTGACTGATGTCCATACTTTTCTTCAAAGAGGCTGTTGCTCTGTTTCAAGCCCATCAGCAGCACATTCTGCAGAAGTGTCCTTGAGCCAGACAGTGAATCCTTTGTCTGCTCTGGGGTGCAGATCAGCGAATAATGATTCTCACCAGGTGGAGTGGTAATAGCTGTAAAGACAACATTATTTTTTCAGCTGGGATTGAGATATCAGTGACCTTGTCATTATAAATAAATCTTATTTTTTACTCTCCTCTCCCCCTTTCATTTCTGAGCTAGCTGAAACCCACAGGATTTTTCTAGTTAAACAAAACTACATTTACCTTGGAGTATGTTACCTCCATGTAATATGAAGGATTACCAAACCCTGCAGAGTGATATATCTTCAATACTGTAGAGAACATTATACTAACCATAGACTGTATTTAAAGATGGATGACGCATCTCCACTTCCTCCCACTATCCAGAAATGAAGCCAAAATATCCCAGATACAAATTGCTATCTTTGGAGCGAGTCTGCACAGTAGCGATCGGTGGATGGAGCCTCTGTAGTGTGGTCTCACTGATACAAGCACTCGACCAATCATGAGCCAGTTCATTTTACATGTACTATGACTTTTTAGCTTGATCCATGTCCCATCTGCTAACAGGGGAGAGGCCGACACGCATGAGCAGTCATGTTGTCCTTTAAGAAATACCTGTGTGAATGTCATTCAGGTAAATAAATAACCAGGAATCAGACTTCATATGCAACTCCAAATCTAAGGATCAAAATAAACTCGGCTGATGTTATTTTAGCTCACATCAGCCATAGTTCTTATGCATGGGTAACAAAGAAACTTGAAATTACAAAAGCATCACCACATTATAAAAAATAGCCATTTGTGATTTTAAAAAATCAAATCAAATCTGCAGGTCAGATCAAAGCACGTGGTGATATCATGAAAGTTTGTGTTGTTGACATCATCTGACCTGGTTAGTGAGCATCCTGGTCTCCATCCGTGGTCCCTGACTTGTAATCCGCAGGCCTGATCCAGGGCCCCAGAGGGCAGCATTCCTCCCAGCTACCCAGGAATGTAAACTTTATTTTGGAGTCCAGCTGCGGACCAGCAGCAGGAATGCAGCGTGTTTGCTGTTAAAACGTCGTCTCTGTGGTGTACTCTCTCTGAAAAGAAATATGTAGAGAAGTCATAAATAAAGATGAGGTACAGCTGGCACCGGTGGGATGACAACTGGCACCAGAACAGAAAAACATGTTGGCAGGTATAACCAGGAGGGGTTTTTCAGATTTAGAGGTTTGTGTGTATTCTGGTAAATATTGATGTTTTTCTGAAGAGGAAGTAGCTCTCAGGTATGTGACAGGATGTTCCACGCTCAGAGGAAACCGCTGCACTCACCTGCCATATCAAAGTAAGAATTCCAACATTGAAAGAACCTTGGGTACACCTGTATGCAACTGTTTACTACCTCTGTGCAGAAAAACAAACAAATAACTGACATGGGGTAAGTAAAGATGGTTTCAAGAGCCACCGCTGCATGTCCACGCCATGTTTCTCCCCCATTTCCACTGACATAACCCTGTCCTCTCTCAAACTCTCCCGTCCTTCATTCAGTTATCAACTTTGGACCATATGTACTAAGCAGGTGTAATGTTGTTGTACTTTAGGGCAGCCTGCAGCTGATGGTTTTATCTCCACTGTATTTTCGCACTGGTAATTTTAGACAAGGATCATGTCATATGTAATTTGTCAATAACAGCGCCCCCTGTTGCATATGGGCTGTAGATGCCAGTGTCACCTTGCTTAACCCACTGATGAACCAATGGTCCAACTAATTCAGTGTCGACTAATGGTTTTGATAGCGGACTAGATGACTCGTGGAGTTTGTCTGTGAACACCCTTGCATGTGCGTGCATACGAAATCGAAAAAGTTAGAGCACACGCAAGCATAAAGATACTATTCATATTTGTTGTCCAATGAGAAATGTCTACCGAACCCGAAGCCACAGCTACGCCCATGATCACAGGGATACCACTATATATTTTAATCCAACTCTGTCTGTTCCAGAGTGAAAAACCTCACCCACTTTGCATTAAAAAAAAAGTAATACCCTTGCTCCTATCTCAGTTCTCCTTTAAACTGTTTACAGTCTCCTACATAAACTCTTAGTTGATTAATGTTGAGACATATGGTTTAAATCCTGTAGTTAGATCTTTGAACTGACTTTTGGGGTCAGATGTCTCTGATTTATTGGTCGAATTTATTCCTTGTAACAACGAGAAAGTAAAGGAGGCTTTCACCAACATCTCCGCTCACATTTTTTATGTTACGTCCTGTGTGAACAAGTTTAAATACCATTCTGGTTTGCTCACCTCAAATCATCTCCTATATATGTAGGAGAAAGTTTGTATAGAGCAATGTAACCAAGAGGAAAAATGCAGGAAGACAAACTACACTGACCTTGTGCATCGCAACAGACGTCATAACCTCCAACCGCCTCGCCAATGGTGGGAATGAAGGATGGAGGAAGGCAGGGAGGTAATTGAGGAATGGAAGTGTGTCTCCTAGGTGGCCATGCTGTTACTCTGGAAGGATGTGGGCATCGGTCAGACCACACACACACGCACACAAACAGACACACACACATGCAGGCCGTGCGCACACTAGTAGCAAGGCCTTTCCAAGCGTCTGCTCTTGTTATTGTTATGCAGTGGTGAGTGTTTAACTCTGAGGCCTCACCATGGTGGGACCAGAGGAATTAGACTCTGGGTAAGTGCAGTGGCCGGCATTTGATTCTCCATTTCTATAACAGTGGGTAATAAATTGTGGGCATTTGTCATCGTTGGGCTGAAAGAATTCGTCTCTGGGTTCCTGTTGAACTGCTTTCACATTTTGGATGAATTTGGACGAAAATGGAAAAACATGCCTGCAGAGTTAGCTACACGATGTTCTGTCCAAACGACATCATTTTAGGCAATTAGGGAAACAAATCAACATCATTTTCCGTGTTTGTTTTCCTTCCATGATGCTAGCAGTGTGCAGTCGAACATGTTTGACTGAGCTGGCTGAGAGCAAACATTAAAAGGGAGTAAAGTAATGGAAAAGGTAGAGAAAAAGATTTTTCTTTGTACTGCACATACACTGAGACTTGATGCCAATATAAGATATTATCTTGAAGTTATTGATGCACACTTACATGGTGAAGAATCCTTGCAGAGCTTTGATTTTATAAAATTTTAATATTTATGACAAAGAGTCATTACATTAGGTCATAGTCCAACACAGGATGGCCTCACATTTGAGATCAGAGAGGTTGGGTGCGGGAAGACCTGATATGTTTGCAGCAGTATAGGTCATATCTGTTTAAAAAAATCTTTGATTCGTTGATAGAAAGTTCGCTTTTAAAGTAATCTCATTGTGTCAGACTTACCGGAACTCACCAGGATTGCAGATCAATTGTTAACAGATCCTGGCCCTGAGTGAATTATACTGAAAAGCGTTTGACGTCAGCAGCGGACATAGCTAACAGAACGAGAGGTGTGAAGACCATGTGGACGAGTATTTGAGGAGGCAGATGGGGCCGTCCAGGTCAGAGGTTAAGAGGGGTTGATGGGTGGAGTAGCAGCAGTGGTCAGGGTGAAAGCCGCTCGGCAAACACAGCTTGCTGTCACAAACACATCACGTATATGAATAACCACACGTCTGTGAGAGACAGAGGAAGGATAAGTGTGTGAGCGAGGGAGAGGAAGGCGGAGAGGTGGACGATAAGCTCACGAGGGGAAGGGTGAAGGAGAGAGGCCCTGAGTTTACTCGCTGTGGTGTGATATGTTCGTCATGTTTTCACACCGGAGGGATTCTCAGACTGCCTGTTTCCATTTCACTGTCTGGGATTTGTGTTCGAAATGTCCATGTTGGATGGATGGAACCAAACAACTTGTTATTGTACCATGTACAGAATTGTGGACATTTTTTCTCGATTTGACCTTTGAACTGTGTTAAAAATCAGAAAAACTTCAATAACAACAATGATAACAGTAATAATGATAATAAATAATAAACTATGAATAGGAGACAATAGGAGAAAATGATGCGATATGAGGGAGATGAAAGCACATAATGTCCCGATACATTTAACAAGATGAGATGAGATTATCTGTCACTAATGATATGACATGATACAACTAACTATGAAAATCAGACACAACTGAGAAGCGTTGGTAACTAAATGAGGTAACTAACTGGAACAATTAAATATAAAACAACATGAGACAAATGCAAGAGGGTGAATTTAAAGTTATGTTAGCCTTGTTGATGAAGTAAAATTATACAAGACAACCTTCATTATATTAAAGTTCATCATAAGAAGATGGGACATAAATATTAGATGGCGGTAAAATGACACGAAGGAGACGAGACGAATCAACTGAAATTAACTTTTAATTCAGTAAACTTTATGAACACAAAAATGGGTCACCTTAAACTTCAATATGGAGATTAAATGATATTACACAACATAAAACATTAAGAAGAGGCAGTGGTAAATACTTAAATTTGATATTTAAATTGGCCTTTTCAATGCGATGAAATTTATCAATTTAAAATAAATTTATTACATTAACTTTACTGATCAACTTTATTGATTAGAATAGAAACGAAATTAATGTTTAAAATTAGGAGAGTGAAGTAGAATATGTTTATTTAAGAAAGAAAAAATAATCGAAGAGACTATAAAAATAAGAAATGCCTTGCTTTGATTAATTGCTGCAGTTTCATCAAACAAGATTTTCTCTGAAGGTATAGACGGATTCTACTCAACCAAAGATACACAACAAGCTAAAGAGGACTTCACCTAAATCCATCGCTGTGTTACTGACCGGTTCAATCCGACCCTCAAAGGCACAAATCTGCCACCACATCAAATGTTTTCCTTTTAGATCTCAGTAAAGACTTTTGCTCTTTGCCTTAATTTATCCTGGGAATATTTGCCAAGCACACACGCTCTCTTTTCATCAACACCCCAATTCACACACACATTCATACCTGGCTGCTGCCCCTTGCAACCACAGTCCTTTACTGTTGATCCAGGGGGCAGCTCCGGCAGACCAATTTGGACGTTACAGAAATGTGCTCAAGGGCATTTCCATGGTGTCAGCTGAAGGAGAGGAGAGCAGGTCACATTCTCCGCCACGATCGACATTTTTGTTGGCAAATCGGGGATCTGAAATCTCACTTCTTGTTAAAACTCAAGGCCTCTGCATATTGGAACTAGAGCCTTTGTGTAGCCTAATGAAAGACATTTAAAAGAAACAATCCAGAATAAAAAGGGAAATAATTCAAGACTTTAAACAGTTTCTCTGAACTCTAGTTCAGTTCTAGTTCTTAGTTTGTCAAAGTAACTGAATTAAAACCTGATGGTTTTTAAGTTCTTCATTATCAAATTAGACAAAATGTTTTCGACCTCATTCGTCCCCTGGTGGCTGGCTGCAGTTATAGGTCATAACCCCTATCTCAAAGATGGTTTCTGTTTTTTTAGGCCGTTCTTATTCTACTGATGTTTAAGTGCTCGTTTTTCTAGTTAGTTTGGTTTCAATAACTTAATTTAATGGTATAAGAATGGGGTGATTGAAACATGAGACTCACTCAGGATTGGTCGAGCATGTGTATCGTTGGGATCTTGATACCGCGGCTCCATCCTCCTGACATCAATGCAAGATGGCAGCTTTCATATCTGGGGTATCATGGCTTCTCTTCTAGATAGTGGGGGGAAGGGGAGACACCATCAATCTTTACATGAAGTCACTAGAGTCAAATTGAATTCGATTTCATGGCATTCCACGAATTAAGTAATGTGTGATTCCAAAAATTAGTCATATTCTCTGTTTGGGAATCAATCCAATAGTTATATTCTGACCAATAAAATGGTGGAGTGACCAATAGCATAGCAAAACTCAGATGCACCATGGAAAAACAGATGTCAGTCCGTTCTCCTTAAAAATGTGACCACACCATCTAAAACGACATTTTTCATTAGAAGCAACATTATATAATGACAGAATGAAGTGCCAGACAGCATGGATGTTCATCCTCAATGGTTCAACTGTGGCTCAGTGTTCCAGGTGAGCAGTTGGTGCTCACCTCTTCATAAGAGCCCTCCCTTCATGCGACAGCATGTTGCTCTGCTCAGACCAGTCTGAACTGCCCTTCTCTAGGACACGGCCGCTTCGGCATCAAACGATATTTTTAATCAAGTGGTCAAAAGCTATTGCACAAACATTCTAAAGTAGCTTAGGTCAACAGTGTCCCAGAGCCTGTTCTGTTAGCTGGAATGCTCCTGTACGCTGCGAACAAGCCTCTCTTTGTGCTGCAGTCCAGCAGTCTCACGCCACACCGCACTGCTCAGGAATCCTGTTTGTTTTCTTTCAAATTTCTCAACCTAGTTGAGTTAACCTGCGATGCGTGTGTGTGTGTGTGTGTGTACAGCTCATTGAGCATGTGCTCATGCTAAACTGGACCCAAAGTTCACTTGCTTTCAAGTGGAACAAACTGGTAAAAAATTATAAACGTTGAGTATATCACAGACTTTGTGAATCCAGCCAGCTGCAGAGAAGGCCGTTGATGTGAGGAGTTACAGATAGATGCCTATTCGACCAAACTCTGCTCTCTGCTGCCAACAGGCCTGGCTTTTAATTCACATTAAATGTAGTCACAGTATTTTCTTTAACAGAGCTGCAGTGGTATTTTAATGAATATGTCTGATTGAAATCCCAGGACTTGTACATTCAGAGACAAGAATCTCTTTAAATCTGTTGCTTTACATTTCTGGACTCCACTGCATTCACTTCTAGTCAATCCACTTATCTAACCAGTAATCTGCAATTAGCCACAATACTGCAGGCTTTTTAACACCCTCAGCGCTGACTGGACAAGGCTTCTCATTAGTCCTCCCTTTTCTCCTCCATTCTCTTGTTGGCTGAGCAAACCAGAGGAATTCATTATCCCGGAAACTTTCTACAGATCAGAGTAAGCCAAGCAGAGCAATGCTATTCGTCTTTCCTGTGCTTCCTGACAATAAAACCTGCACACAGTTGGCCTATTATTTCTGCTACAACTGACGACCACTGTTCCTCTTGTCATTTAGTGCAACTCTGGCTATCAGGAAGCCCGGTTTTTAAACTGAATAGCCTGGCACTGTTGGTACCTGGATCGGATTCTTTCTTTGAGGAAAAAGTCAAACACATCCCAGCTTTGTTCTGATGGTGAAAAGAAGCTGAACTTTTCACCAGCCCTCTAGAGGCATGTAAATGGGTCAGCCTGGCTCGGCCAATAGGCTCACATATTGACTGGACTCATCCAATCAAATTAATGCTTGGCTCTTTGTAATCATCAAATTAAAAGATTAGTTTACGGTACAAACGTTTACACAAAAATCTGAAAATGCTGATATCTTACATTCGTCCTTCCCTTATCCTTTCTACCCATTTCACAGATAAGCCTATATGGTATTCTGAGTACCATCCACCCATCCCTCATGGGGGAGCTGGAGCCAAGTGCAGCTGACATTGGGCGAGAGACAGGTTTTTTTTCACCCATATAATCTTTACACATCTTTTGTCATCTTAATGTAGGTATCAATTTAACTAGTTCATGTCCAGGAGTTAGTCTGTATATGTCATCCCCGCCCACCCCCGGCCAGAACCTATCACAGCTCACACCGATCGGGACGTGGACAGGTCACAAGTCCGTGACAGTCAACTATTCACTCTCAAGTTCACACCTTCAGGCAATTTAGAGGTGAAAGTTTTCCTCACCTCTGGGACTGTGGGAGGAAACTGTGCAGATGTTGACAAGGAGTCCACACAGTTACGCCCCATGTACGCATGGAGGAGATTTACATTTTGTTAAAATTTGAAATGCAATGTAATTTAGATTTAAAATTCAAATTTAATGAGTGACCAGATATAAAACCACCACAACACACCAGACAGTATTTGCTGAATTAATTTATTTTCCCTTTCTTTAAAGTACAATAATCAATATTGTGGGGTCAGCTCAAATAGTGGTCCAATTGGCACAGGCTCTAGGCACAAGGAAATGATGGTTAATGGACTTTCCAATTGTTTGTCTTAAAGAGGGAGAATGAAACCCACCTTGAAAAGTTCAGGTGTGCAGGGGAGTCCTTAAACCTCTCTTCTGGCCAGGAAGTCGGTCCTGTCCAGTGGCTCGTGTCCTTTCTGAGGGTCCCTCTTGTAGAAATACACAGATTCCACCCAACAAAATGGTTTGGGTACATTCACAATCTACATATATATACCTTCTTTGACTGGTGTCATGTCCACAGTCATTAAGAGTCAATTTCCTCATTTGGTTAAAATCAGTTATGTAAAGAAAAAAGGGCCCAGGCAGGACCCAATATTCTAAAAACAGAGGCTTACTTTCAAGTCTACCAGAAACACTTTAAGTCACTAATAGCCACTGATCAGTTTTCTCTGATTGCACATTAGTAAATACCTGACACCTGTGTTGCTGAGAGAGTCTTCAACTCCGCCTTTCCCTGTGACAACGTCCTGATGCATGCTCTGCACACTGAGCCTGATTCCACTCTAAACAAAAAGAATGCAAACATGCAAATCAAAATGCTGCACAGCAAACTCAAGTCAGATTCAATAGTGCAGGCACTGATCGTTCTGCAGGTCTCATAACAATATGACGAGATATAGGAGCAAAATATGAACTTTATAATGTTACGAGAAAGTTTGAACATTACTGTATATACTGTAGCTTTCTGAAAATTGTTTGGGAGTTTTTCAAAATATTATTTATATTAAGGAGGACAGGTAGCAAATAAGTAGACAAATATTTTGGCAGCTGACATTTGAGGTCACATGCTGGATGATGATCATCATTTCCGGTAAGGGCCATGTTTGATTTGGAACAACACTACCCTGTCAGAACACACACCACTGAACGTGCTGTGTGCATACCGTCATGTGACTGCACTGAGTGAAGGATCCAATTTGAGACACAGCAACAGTCTTTGTGCTCGGCGCACCGTCTCCTGGCATCGGCTTCAGATCAGTTATGAGAGAGGTATAGATTTTCACTAATCTCAGCTAACAGCAAATCAGAGTTTAGATTGTTCACATGTACTTATTATTTTTATATAAAAGATTATAAAAGTTAAGAATATATGGCGAATGATCTGATGCACATTGTGAGGCTTTTTGTTGTTGTTGATGACGACGACGTATGTCTGAGCATCATTTTCTCACCTGTCATCAAAGCATTTCTCACTCTGATGTCTTTGACTCGTTTTCAAATCTGTTTTACTGCCACATTTCCAGTAACCTGAGGAAATGCCTTTTCTGGGCTGTCCCACCAAATGCCACATATAGGCGGCCCCTTCTTATACTGCAGGGTAGGCTGCTCTGAAAAGCCCCTCCAAAATACTCCGCAGGGCGGTGTGTCCTGAATGTCCCGCACCTGCATAAACACAGCGAGCCAGGAGAGCTGCCTGCCGCCCCATCAACCACACTAAACCACACGTCCAAAAGGCAGGAGAAAAACATACCTGAGAACAGTTGCCGTGAGAAGCGAAGGTAAAGTAGAATACAGTCAACCACAAAAGGTTGCAGGGTAAGAAAGGTGCAATCTTCCATTTATACATGCTGAGTGAACGTCAGTATGCAAAGTGAGGCTTGGCTTTTGCCTGTACAGTGAAAATATACCAGTTAGAATACACACTATTCTGTCCACGTGATATAAAACAAACGGCCAGTGTAAGATTTTGGGAGAGAAAAGAGATAAAGCAGTTGAAAGCCAATGTAGAAACTGAAATTACATTGGCTGAATATAGAAAAAGATATGGAAACCTGAGGGATAATTACACAAAAGAAAAATGTGTTGCAACCAGAAAGAGTCTGACACGGGCCCCTGAGACAAGCTGCGTATTGACGCGCTGTGACAGAACACCTACCTGTCAGACATGCCCTACATAGGTTCTCCTCACAGGGGACAAGGCTCCATATTCACACAGCATCACACAACACCTCGTCGTTACGTAACTGTCGCACCCTTCAATCATTGTGCTGTAAGTGAGACCTCACAAGGGGCCCCGGCTCTGCTGCTTTATAGTACAGGACGCTCCGACTTAGTGAGGGGGGCCTCCATGTTTAATCCTGTTGGAACTGCAGAAATGCCCTTAAGAAGTGATTTAGTCCAACTTTTAGTCTTGTTTCCGAGATTTAGAAATAATACCTGCGTGTAGCAAAGGTCTTTTGACCTCATTTGGGTTTACTGGAAAACAGCAATTTAACACGACAATACTCTGGCAATGAAAACACTGTGTTCTTTATGTAGTCACATCAATAAAATGTGTTGTTTTGTGAGTTTGCTGCCACTGGTTTTGACACATAAGTGATAATTCCTTCCTGCGTCATCGCCTCGTCCTCCTCTGCTGCTGATGGATTAATGCCCTGCCTGTGACTGGATACAGCTGGAAAAATGGCAGTGAGCTCACAGCTAATGCATGAGCCACATTATGCATGAGCACACGTAGATGATGCTACTTTAACTCGATTAAACTTCTGATGAAGGTGAATTCTAGAAGCAATACGCAGGTTACTGTTGCTATGATGCATTCTGGCTATTTGTGAGAGTTTACAGGTGACAACCTAAAGTATATAAAGTAGAAACTAAAGCAGCCATTCAACATTTTGCTAATTATTATTTTTTCTTGTTGATTATCTGGTGGTTTATTTATCTTAGGCAGAAAGAACAGAGGGAAATAATGAACATGTCTGGAAATAAATAAATCCACCCACAAGCAGGACTAAGCTAACAATCTTGTCCGCTTCATCCACAGACTGTAGATAAAGAAAACTGTAGATTTAATAAACCCTGATTCCTTCATGTTGGTGAATGGGACATGGACCAAATGAAAACATCATGTTAGGTCTTTTTTTATCACACTGATGAATGTTCAAGTGTTCAATTGATCATTATGTTTGGTATAATTGTTTTTATTAATGCTATAAAATTGGGGTCAAAAATCATGATTGACAGCTGAGACTGACTCATGATTGGTCGAGCAGTCAATGGCTACTGCGCAAGATGGCAGCGTTCATATACAGGATATTTTGGCTTCATTTCTGGATAGTGGGAGGAAGTGGAGACGCATTGTCCATCTTTATAAACATTCTGTACAAATGACAACAGCTTTACAAAAGGGCAAGTGTTGGAGTTAAGACAATGACTTCACATGTCTTGGCTCTTTATCGTCACATCTAGCATACAGACATGACGGCGGTATCAGTCTGCTCATCTAACTCTATTGGCGAGAATGTGAATGAACAAATCACCTTAAATGTGAAACTACTCCTTTAAGATCATGGCAGTTATGTAATACTATGATTTTTAAAGAAAGATGTGGTTATGTGGAGAAAACTATTGAGCGAACTTCGTCTGGCTGTTGTTTGCACTGTAATCGCTCCCAAACTGACGTCACCGTTAATCACCACTTATTTACAACCACATTGCTGTTTTCAACCTTTGTGGCGTTTGTTGCTCTGATTCACTCCTGCTGAGAGTGGAAAACTTATTTCTGTCGGCCCGCGCTGATGCAGTGGGAGAAGCATGTGAAACTCGGGTCATCCGCCGCTGGATTTGACAGCTAGCTGAGCGATGACACCTTCCTGCGTCATCACTTCCTCCACACTTTGCTGAGGAATCCAGCGTCCGCTGTTCCAACTGGGGAATATTCCATGTTGTTGTGAAGGGGATGATGATGAGGGCATAATATTTTCCACTGTCAGCTGGTGGTGGTCAGGTATGCTGCAAGGTAAAAAAAGAAAAGAAACACCCTGTCAGCAGAGGACACAATTGGATGTTTTTCTTCTCTCAGCGTTGAGATAGACCATTACTCTGTCCTCTTAGTTTGTGCATGACTGCCACAGTCCTCATCGGAAAGTGTCACCACTCTGCAGCCAGTTATTTTAGGAAAACAGTACCAGGCTCTAAATGAATAGGGAGAGAGTCATACCTGCATGTATTCACCAGTCAAATCTGATAGCTTTTTTCCACAGGTAACACTTCTACTCTCTTGTAAGAGTTAACAACACTGTGTCCGGTGTTTAAATGACACATGAATACATTTAATGCATTATGTTTTGTTGTTGTGACATCCTTCTCTTCAATGCTTAGTCAAAGTATGTTTGTACCTGCTGCTGCCATCATTGATTCTGGTGTCCATGTTTGTTTCTTTATGCAAAAACTACAGAATGGATTACCACAAAACTTAGAGGAAGGACACGGTAATGGTCAGAAAAGAGCCAATGCAATTTGGGTGCAAATTTGGATCAGGAATCAGGAATTATTTTTGCAAGATTCAGCGTTGTGCAACAAGTGTAAAAATCTGACATGTTTAGGGGTTTTGCAGAGATGAATAATTAATTTATATGTGGTTTCTGTTGGGCCTAGGTGGAGGTACACACTCTACTGTTCTAGACGATTGGCTGTTTCAGCGAGGGGCAGGACATGTGTCAAACAATCATCATCTTTGGCATCTTTTGACGGATTATTCTCTTCAGGATTCTTGAGTGGTTTGAGTTATGCATAACCTGACCTTATTCTGACCTGCTTTAGTATCTTCGAGAACAAATCTTCATTGTCCTGTCCCTCAATTTAACAAATTGCTGAACTGATCAAAAATGCACCGCTGCGTCTCTCATGGTCGTCATTACCTTCACAAAAGCAACAGTCATTCTCCTCAGAATCCACAGAAAACACAATACTGTGGGAGATACTTTCAGAACAAGAAAGTGTAAACAGAGCCGGCCAACAGGCACTTATATCAGCATGAAGGGGTCAGATTGCCACTAGATAGACAAACAGACATGGGGCGAGGGTGTAGGCTGCAGTCTGACCTTGCAGACAGATGGGGAAAGGCCTTTCTTTCCAGACACACAGACAGACAGGGAGGGGTCCTGTTAGCCACTGTGCAGAAACTGCATATCTGGAAACAATTAGAGCAGATGGGAAACCTGGCCAAGCCGTTTCTATAAGGCACAGCAACAACTCTCTGCTCCAAATGAGGATTTGTTCACCACCTCTCACAGATGCACAGCTCATTATTCCATCCAACATGTTATGAAGCGGCAAACAATATGTTTTTTTTAATCCTTTAGAGAAGTGCAAACACATTTGTGTTAACTGACGGCCTTAGCGACAGGGAAAGCCTTGAAGACCAATATTTTCACAGCTGTTTGTGAAGGAACAGTCGTCCTCGCACTAATCTTTCACATTTTGCTCATTGCCACGTCAGAAAACAGCTTTTCCCTTTCGCAGTGTTCAACACTAACGACTTCATCAAAGGACAGATCTATTGTTGACCTTGAATGTGCTTTTGCTCGAGACACCACCCAGACGCTGGCATTCGTCTTCGCTGCCGGAGGGCCCGACCAGGTTTCACCGGTAACGCCAAAGCTCCAGCGGTGTTGAG